TTTTTAAAGAGAGAGTGAGAGAGAGGGGGACAGAGAGAGAGAGAGAATTTTAACATTTATTTATTCTTAGTTCTTGGCGGACACAACATCTTTGTTGGTATGTGGTGCTGCTGAGGATCGAACCCGGGCCGCACGCATGCTAGGCGAGCGCGCTACCGCTTGAGCCACATCCCCAGCCCCAGATAATTGTTTCTTTACAACTGAAAATCTGACCTTTGAGTTTCCCTAATGGAATTTTTTATTCACCAGAAAAAAATGAAATTCAATGGAATGGCTTACTCCATTTACATTCCTTTTTTAAAGTCCTCTACTTTAAACCTGAAGCTGAATTAAGACAAACCTTTTATCTACTCTTAGGCCTTTTAATACTAAATATGCCAGTGGCTGTGAGACCTGAACACACGGAGGTGTTCTGTAAATATGAAGCCTATAACAACCCATCTTCATTCTGTCCCAGGCTTCACACTGACCTTCTGGGTCACCTGGGCCAAACATAAATTCCCAGCTGAAGGGAAGCATTGTGTACCAGGACTGTAGGCCCTCCCCCACCCCATCAAGACTAACAGTATTCTACTACTCCTTATAATAAACAGCGGGAGGGGGGAGATTGATTGGCCTTGTCAGACCAGATAAATAGTTCATTGTATTGAATTCAAAAGCTACATTTTTTCCCACCCAAAATCAATGAAAAAACACTTTTTTCCCCCTTAAAAAAGGATCAGAGACTAAATCTCTGGGGTGATTCTAGTTCCTGGTAAACACTTCATCCAAATAATTTTTAAAGCTTTATGAGTTAAATGAGTGATGTTTACCCTCTCCTCTTTATTTCTATCAAGCTTTGTCCCTAGAAACCTTATAAATGTTTTGGTCTATTAGCATTCTTATTACTGTTAGGGAGGGAAATTGTTCTCAGGGTTTATTAGCCTGTTTTGATTCATTAATGTGGGACATATCTTAAAATATATGAGTCCCTTATCATTTGGCTTTGGACCTTGTGAGAATTTAATGAATAAACATAATTTCTTTTCCTTCAGTTTTATCGAGATGGCTCTTCTTTATACAAGTCTTGTCATTTGATACAGACTTGGAACTGGCTTAATAAAGAACGAGTAACATCTATTTCTACCCTGACTCTGAAAAGGAACCACTTCACTGGGGCCGGGATTTGAGAGTGACTTGGCCGAAGAAGAAGTTTGCCAATTGTGTTCAGCTGTTTTTACATTTTGTGACATGCTTCACTTTGCGGCAATTGCAAACAGGTTGTGGTACCTCAGGGTCTGGGATGAGCTCACCCTCCCCAGACACCTGCAGAAGGTCAGAAAATACTTTGGATTTGAAGAAAACTATTTATTCATAGCCTTGAGAAGAGGCTAGGACCACAGAAACATTGGTTGGGGGGATGACTAGTTTCAGTTTTCAGTTCAGATTACTAGAGTTGATTTAGGCAAGTACTGGAATGACTCCACAGGCTTTTCATTTGAGGAAAAAAATGTGACTGAAATTGAGAGGGAAAGCAGGTCCTCCCAGATGGCTTGGCAGTCATCAGCTATACATTCAGGGGCACTTGTGCCTATTCCCACCTGTGGTCACACCGGAGGATCTTCCTTTTCCCAAGGAATAAGAAGTCATTTTTCATGTCAACTTGCAGCATGGATATTTTATATCTTAAAGTTGTCCCAGATTCCAGTACGTTGATGAATTGTAGACAGAAAATGTGAAAAATCTCCTCAGAGCCAAGTGCCATTCTCATGAACCAGACAGAAAAGAGTTGTCTGTTTTCTTCTGAGAATGACTTAATTCTTTTGTTTCTTCTGTCATTAAACCCATGTAGGAGAATGATGGGCTCCTAAATTGGAACATTGATATGTAGAGAAAATTTTTTTAAAGTCTTCAAACCATGTGTTTAGAAGCAAAATTGAATAAGATGGAAGTTGTGAAAGTTATTAACAAATATCCTAAATATGTTCTTGAAAATGAGTAGTGGATTTTGTCCATTTGAATATAGATTCTTTTCTGCTTGAATTAAAAACCAATTAAAAAATTAGTTGGTTTTGTCTTTAGAAGAATTTCCTGATCAACTTTATCCATGTGATTGGTTAAGTATCCAGGATGTAATCTATCTATACCCCACTGGCCATTCTGAAGACCAGGGTTCTAGTTTGCATTGTTAACAGGCCATGTGGGGAAGATGCATCTCTGCCTCTCTCTGACCCCTTCCTGCTACCTGTTATTTAGGACATTGTTCCTTCCTTTGGAGGATACCAATGAATATTCCATAGCATGTGCTTACTGCCTGTCAACTATGTGCCTGGCCCTGTGCCTGGTTCTGGGGCAGATACAAAGACTAGAAAAAGAGCAGCCAATTCTGCCTGAAAGCACTTCCAGTCTGTGTGTCACATGGGAAATGTTGAGAAAGTGCTGCACATTTCTTATACCTTTTTTTATGGCACGGTGGGGGTATGTCTCTTATTTACTTCTGTCATTCTGAATGTGAAGCCATTCCGTGGATTTCTGGTTGGCTTTATATGTCCTTGTTTCTATTTCCAGTTTATCATGAATTCAGTGTTTGGTAAGTCTCTATTGTATTTTGCACATTTATTATTCTTTGCTATTACTATTACTATTGTTATGCTCTTCTGATATAAAATGTATTTTATAATCATCTTTTTAAGTCGCTCTGCTACTTTGGCATCTGCCTTCTAAAAGATAAACGCTTTTACCCATCTTTATTTAAGGTTTGTTATGCATTTGCATTTTACTGCCCCTTCCAGAGATTAATGCTGAGAGATCTGACAGTTTAAAAGATGTTATTTGTAATAGGTCTAGCCCTGATGCTCTGAGGTGAGATCGTCTGTCTCACATGAGATTCAAGTTAAGATGGGGGAGGGTTGCTCTCTGAACTGGTATGTGGGTCTGACTTTGATTGTAGAACATTGCTCTACGGGTTCGTTCCTAATATGTTTAGTCCTTCCAACAGATTTGATTCCAAAATCTTCCTAACAGAGGGGCCAACAGCTGCTCTGCCTCTGGTGACACACTGTTGCTTTAAAAGTTAGCACAGAAGTCCTTCAGAATACATTTTGGATGTTGGTGGGTGATACATACATGCTCTTCACATTAACATGGGCCGTGTGTTTGCCACACAAAATGGCTCTCCACTTGAGTCTGCTGCCTATAGCTATTAAGGAGAATTTAACTTAATGTGTATCCTTTTCCTCATAGTGTCAGCACTAGTCATTCAGTCCTTAAACAGATCCCACCAGGTGACTTCTTGCCCCTTTGTTCTGAAGAGGGAATGTGCTTTTCGAACTTTCTTAAGTATCTACTTGGCTGCCTGGGTAGTATTCCCCAAGTGTTTGTTGGACTGC